CCCCAAAACCCCAAAACCCCAAAACCCCAGTTTGTCACACAAAAATTGAATGTTTAATTTCACACGTGTCTAATACTTATACTCTACCCATCTCACATTAGTTGGTATTTCTTCGTCAGGTAAATTATTCTCGAAAAGAGGACTCTTCTGTCCGCTGAGCTTTAAGTCCATTCTATTATGTAGCTGTAGCCACCAGTTAGCAGGGAGATATAAACAATCGCCGGGCTTCAGAGTAACATGGTTAATCATGCTATAGTCAAAGCTACGGGATTTTCCATAATCTTTATCTGTATTGAAGAGGTCTAATTCAGAGATTACTGAATTATCATCAGTGAAACGGTTAGTCAAGTACAGATACCTTAGGAAAAGGTGATTCACTACAGAAACGTTTAAATTACCCACAAGCTCCTCTTTCGTGTCATTGAGGCCAATATTACAGATAATTTTCTGAACTGTTTGTTCAGCTGGTTTTGTGTAGAATGGTAGGAGGGATTCACCATATATGATAGAAGAAACCTTGAATAACTCGTCGAATGGTTTTATAGTAGTTTCGTCATTGCTCTGTTCCTCCTCCTTTTCAGAATTTTGTTTCTCTTCTGGTAAGATTTGCTCGTCATAGATGAAATATGATGGGGATTGTGTAGAGCTCTTCTTATTCGCTATAATGTTAATGAATTAAATCAACTCAAAGAAAATATGTATATCTATGCATCTTACTGGATTGCTCAGTTCCCTCATTTTGTTCTCTGAGGTATTTATAAGGGAATCTAGTAGCTCCTCTGTCAAGATGTCGGAAATCTTTAAATAGAAAAGTATGGTTTGAATCTTGCTGCTTAGCCTGAATATCCTGTTCAAAATCATAATCCTTCCTGATATACACATCCCCGCTAAATCCAGTAATTTTAAGAGGTTTCTCTTGGAAGAAGTGATCATTCATGATGATTTCCTGAACCTTTTCACCATTTCCAATAGTAGAGATCTCAGAGAACTTCCAATCCTCCTGTTTTTCATCCAATTTTTCAAGCATGAGCATATCGTAGAAGTCGATGCTACCAGATATCTTGAAAATAGTATCTTCGTGCATTTTTATACTGATGTAGTAGATGACACTTCAAGTTGTTAGGAAGATCAGCATGAGGATCAGCCTGATTCAAGGCACCTGGCCTACTGTATGGCACACAGTATTGTACTTTAGTTGGTTGAAGGTAATCATATTGATGCTAAATTTACAATTTTTATTAAAAATATCGGGGTTTTGGGGTTTTGGGGTTTTGGGGTTTTGGGG